TTACCGCATGTATAGAGGATGTTGTAGATTCAAGTAGGTTATTAGTCAGAGAAAAATACTGGCAGCTATTGCCTATGGTTATACAATATATATATATTACTTTTTATTCTGACTTTGATCCATGATGTTTAAAAAATGAAAAAGTAACGATAGGATGTTTTAATGGACATGAAGAAAATATTATAATTAATAACTGTTTTAACTTGTTGTCTTGGTTATATTGATTAAAGTAATTAACAAAGAAAAGTCTTTAATTGCAACTACCACATATGGCGACCGTGACAGGACACGAACCTGCAATCTTCGGATTGCAACTATCACATATGGCGACCGTGAGGCAAAGAATTTAACTTATTAAAAGTCCGGAATGTCCGCTGTAGTTTGTGCTCAAATAAGGAAGTCTGATTAAGATTATAATAAAATAAGTAGTTTGGAAGATTTGAGTACATATATTAAATAAAAATGGAGACTGCAGCGGCGATTAAAGAGAACCGGGAGAGAGAGCAACTAAGAAGAATTTTCAACCGAACAGCGACGAAGCTAGAAGCTGATATCAAAGTCGAAAATTTCTCGCAAGTGTTGATCGACATTGAATTTCTTAAGAGTAAGGTTGAACGATTAGAAGCTTTAGATAAAATGATACAAGACCTCATGTTAGAAAGCGACAGTTATGATGAAGAATCCTTCAGCATTGAAATTGATACAGCGGACACGTATAAATACAGATGGCACACAATTAACAATCAGATAAAGACAGGTATGTCGTCAAAAATTCCTCTTGATAAGATTGAAAATGTAAAGCCAGCCAGGAATTACAATTTACCTAAGTATGAGCTAAAGAAATTTGATGATAACCTGAAGAACTGGTTAGCTTATTGGGGCCAATTTAAGAAAATTGACGAAGATCACTCATTGTCTGGAGAGGATAAGTATCAGTACCTCCTTCAATCATTAAAGGAAGATAGTAACGCTCGAGTATTGGTGGAAAGTTTCCCTCCGTCTGCTGAAAATTATACAAAGGCTATTGAACAACTCAAGGCAAGATTTGGACGGGAGGATCTTCTCATACAGGTTTATGTTAGGGAATTATTAAGTTTAGTTTTAAACAATAATAAAAAACAAGTATCTATTAGACTATTATATGACAAAATTTCAACATATTTGATGTCTTTAGAAACGTTAGGTATTGTTAAACAGAAATATGAAATAATTTTGTATCCCCTTGTAGAATCAGCAATTCCCGAAACAATTCTTATTGCTTGGAATAGATGTAACACTGATGCATCTCTTGGTAACCAATTGACAAGTTTATTAAATTTTCTTAAAAACGAAGTAGAAACAGAAGAGCGAATTAATTTAGCGAGGTCCGATTTTAATTGTATTGGTACTAATCACACTCTCCACAGGGAACAAATAAGCAGCTTACCAACAGCAGCATCGTTAGTATCAAATATAAAACCAAAGGAGTCAGGTAAAGTAGTCAATGTTATTTGCTGTTTTTGTGACAAAAGCAATCATAGTTCTTTTGAATGTAGTAGAGCTAATAAGATGTCCCTAGAGGATAAAAAGGAGGCAATAAAAAAGAAAGGCTGCTGCTACATATGTCTTAAAAAAGGTCACATGGCTAATAAATGTAAAAGTTTTGTTAGATGTTTATCATGTGAAAAAAGACACTATGTGATTTTATGTCCGGAAATTCATAAGAAAGAAAAGAGTGGAACATTGGAAAATGTTTCGTTATGTGCCAGAACTAATATGACAACTTTGTTACAAACACTCATTGTCAATATCACCTATCAAAGAAAAATCAAGAAGGTGAGAGTTTTGTTAGACAGTGGTTCTCAAAGGTCGTATGTAAAAGCCAAAGTTGTTGAAGAATTAGGATTGCATGAGACTGGCATAGAAATAATAGGTCACACATTATTTGGGGGTGTGGATCAGCCTGCCAAGGTATATAAATGCTTTGATGTTTTGGTAAGTAGCTTAGACAATAGGTTTTCTGTTAGAATCAATGCACTACAGCAGTCTGATTTATGTGGGCACCTGCCAAAAATTAATAATGAAAAAATATTAGAGAAGTTACGGGACTTGAATATTGTGATCAGTGATTTTGATTATACAGATACTGAGATAAGTCTCTTGATTGGGTCGGATTACTTAGGATCCATCATACATAATGAAACGGTTAGTTTAGGTAACAACCTGATGGCTGTTAATACCAAGTTAGGATGGACATTACAGGGACCAATAAAAGTTCAAAGTACAGTCAATACATCAAGCACTACATGCTTTTCAAAAACAAATCTTTCTGATTTGTGGAATATTGAGTTATTAGGAATTCGAGACCCTTATGAAAATAAGTCTAAAAAGGATACTGAAGTCGAGATTTTGAAAACTTTCAATGATAACATTTCAGTAAATGCACAAGGACGTTATGAAGTCTCATTGTTATGGAAAGAGGGGTGTGCAGGACTCAAGACAAATTATGAAGTTGCATTTAAACGATTGGAATCAACCACAAAAAAGTTAAAATCAACTGGTAACCTAAAAATGTATGATCAAGTTCTTCAAGACTGGAAGAAAAATGATATCATTGAGAGGGTTATAAATGATACAAATACAGGCCACTATTTGCCACATCATAGTGTTATTAAATTATCTAGTATGACAACACGTGTACGTCCAGTATTTGATGCTTCTACAAAGGACAACAATGGATGGACTCTTAACGGTTGTTTAGATAAAGGTATTAATATGATTGAATTGTTACCAAAATTATTAATACAATTTAGAAAAGGTGCTTATGGAGTTATATCTGATATAAAACAAGCATTTTTACAGATATCTATTGCAGAAAAAGATCGAGATTACTTGAAATTTCTCTGGTGGGAAAATATAGAAACTTGTAATGAATTAGTTGCATATCGACACAAAAGAGTGGTTTTTGGAATTACGTGTAGTCCATTTTTGTTGAGTGCCACAATAATGTATCATTTGAGTAAGTATTCAGAAAAGTACAGGAAAACTGTTAACAAATTGAAAAAATCTTTTTATGTAGACAATTGTGTTGCAAGTTTTGATAATGTAGATGAAATGAATATATTTATATCGGAATCTAAGGAAATAATGGCAAAAGGTATGTTTGATCTGCGTGGATGGGTAACAGCACCTCACAGAATAGATAGCATTGTTGAAGTTCCTGTGCTTGGGATGACATGGAATACAATTCTAGACAATTTAAGATGTAATGTCAACATAAGTGAAGCAAGATCGGAGAAAATAACGAAAAGGTATGTGATTGCTGTGGCACAACATATATTCGATCCACTGGGACTTGTTTGCCCAGCAACTTTAATACCCAAACTTATTATGCAGAAAATTTGGGAACATAACATAGATTGGGATCATGAAATACCCGAAGAGTTAGCCCAAGAGTTCAAAATCTGGTTAAGTAAAGCACATTTCATCAATCAATGTCTGTTCCCTAGACATATCTCAATCGCACCTTTAGAAAAATGTCAGACAAGTCTTCATATATTTTGTGATGCCAGCCTAACATCTTTTGCTGCATGTTTGTTTTTAAGAACAAAATTAAACGAACAGGTAAAAGTCCAATTAGTTTTAGCAAAAAATCGGGTAACCCCAGCTAAAAGAAAAATGTCTTTACCAAGACTAGAACTTATGGGGGCGCTCATTGCAACTCGACTATACAAAGAGGTTTTAGAGTCAAGATTGCTAACAAAATGTAAGGAATACAAGGTTTATTTTTGGACAGACTCTGCTGTGGTGCTATCATGGCTAAAAAGACAAGCACATTGGAAACCATTTGTTTCCAATAGAGTGAAAGAAATATGCTCAACAACCAATCGTGACGATTGGTACCATCTACCTGGTGAGTACAATCCATCAGATCTTCCATCACGAGGTTGTGACGCAAAGAAGCTTATGGAAAGTAGATGGTGGGAAGGCCCAGCATGGTTGAAGCTTAATGAGAAGGATTGGCCAAAATCAAACATTATAAATGTCAATGAAGAGATTGTAGAAGCAGAAGTAACCAAAAACGCCAAGATTAATACAAATGTCACAATAGAACCATTCAGTCAAAAATTGACATATTTTTCAAAATATAACCGCATAGTTAGACTTGTGGCATGGATATTACGTATGAATTGTAAAATAAAAATAAAGTTTGACATAAAGGAGTCAGACATAACAAATGATGAATATATCAATGCAGAAAAGACACTAATTAAATTATTACAGAAAGAGAATTTTACAGAAGGGTTTTCGTTACATAATATAAATACAGAAATAGATGCCGATGGGGTGATAAGAGTAAAAACACGTTTAGATTTGAGTAAAGAAGACAAGAATTTTGTAAGGCCAATACTTCTACCAGGAAAAAATGAAATCGTACAGCGGTTAGTGCGACAGAGACATGAAAAGTTAAATCATGGAGGAACTCAGCTCTTAGTATCCAACCTCAGAAACAATTTATGGATTTTAAACCTAAGACGTCTTGTTAAAAGCGTTGTTTCTAAATGTGTTATATGTAAGAGATACAAGACAAAACATTACGAGGTTCCTGAAGCACCATTGCCATCAAAGAGAGTTGAGGCAAATGCAGCATTCCAGATAACTGGTATAGATTTAGCGGGACCTCTACATCTCCGTGACCAAAGCAAATGTTGGATAGTATTATTTACTTGTGCTACATATAGAGCAGTTCACCTAGAGCTTGTGGAATCTTTATCCACAAATAGTTTCTTGATGGCCTTACGTCGTTTCATAGCTCGAAGGGGCCGCATAAACATTATATATACTGATTGTGGTACGAATTTTCAAGGTTCAGCCAATTTATTAAAAGAGGTTGATTGGGCAAAAGTCGAAGCAGCAACTAGCATAGTTCCACCAGCTATCAAGTGGCGTTTTGTACCTCCACGTGCGCTCTGGTGGGGAGGATGGTGGTAAAGGTAGTAAAGGAAATGTTAAGAAGAATCTTGGGAAAACAATCCTTAACTTTGATTGAATTATCAACAATAATTTGTGACTGCGAAGCAATCATTAACAGCCGACCATTGACATACGTAGCAACAGCTGATGACTCTCTTAAACCACTTACTCCAATGATGTTTCTACATCCCTTAGATAATAGTGAGATGCCTGATTTAGATCTGATTGATGCAAAAAACATAAATATTCGTTTACAATATCTAAACAAATTACGTGCAGATTTTCGACAACGTTTTAGAAACGAATATATTGCTTTAATTTGTAGTAAAGATAGACGTAAACAAAATTTGCCGAAATTAAACGATATTGTTCTTATTGAAACTGACACTAGTCGGCTATATTGGCCATTAGGTATTATAAAGGAGTTAATTATAGGTGCTGATGGTAATTGTAGAGTTGCAAAAGTACAAACAGCTACCGGTGAATTGGTTAGAGCTGTACAAAGTCTTTACCCACTGGAATTAACAACAGTTACAAACGAATGGCACAGGGCCAGTCCATCTACTAATAGAAATAAGACAGAGACTAACCCTAACATTAAGGATTATAGTTCCCAGGCGACTTTGAATTCGGACATAATATCATCTGATTTACCTCAAACATCTTCTATTAGTACTAGACATGGTAGAGTAATTAATGTTCCAAGAAGATTCTTAGATTAAGTTGATGAAATGCATTTAGTCAATTAGTTAGGAATGTTTATTTAAAATAATGCTCTCTAATTAACATTAAAAATTGAAGAGGTTGAATTCATCTATATTTGTAATGAATGTGTGAATACACTTAAAATTAACTTAATTCGATTACATGTTATGTTTAAGTATTTTGAATTATATTATATCGACTCTACTATCATATTTTTCTGTGTGGGGAGGATGTTGTAGATTCAAGTAGGTTATTAGTCAGAGAAAAATACTGGCAGCTATTGCCTATGGTTATACAATATATATATATTACTTTTTATTCTGACTTTGATCCATGATGTTTAAAAAATGAAAAAGTAACGATAGGATGTTTTAATGGACATGAAGAAAATATTATAATTAATAACTGTTTTAACTTGTTGTCTTGGTTATATTGATTAAAGTAATTAACAAAGAAAAGTCTTTAATTGCAACTACCACAGAGATATAAGGATAGATGGCGCTGTTAAAATCAATTCTAAAAATAAAAGAGATTAATTGACGCGATTGATACAATAAAAAAACTTAAAAGAACTTATAAATCAGGCCTACATCGTAAGCAAGAAAGAAAGTTTGATCCTCGCCGAAACCAACGAAATTGTTAATAGCTCTTTTAAAATTTGATTTACCATGTAGAGTACTCGGCGGTAAAGAATAAATGATATTGTCAATACACAGTAGGGCAGCGAGTAATTTAAAGATTAACAGCAAATATGAAAAGTCATTTACAGAAAAAAAACCACAACCTGCCTTCTTGCTTGACATTTGTGCAACACCACCATCTATCGATGAAATGGGTTAACTATTGTACTTTAGATTTACATAATAAGGTTAATATATTTTTTAATATATTTATTACGTTCTTTATGCAATACTTTTGTTTACTGCGTTTTAGATATAATTTCATCATTATAGAACATTATTTTACATCATTTAATTATGTTATGATTTATAATATGATATTAGTTTAAAATGTACTTGATGACTCAACAAACGCCACCATTGAACAAATTCGTACCTATACTTTGTAGCCATACTTCAGAATATTTATCATAACTTTTGATGGAATGAACTAATTTTAATGAAATAAAGACTAAATGTAACCTGAAGATACACTTTATAAATTCTTTAACGATTCTTCTGATATTAATTGGTACTTTATACGTGATACGTTAACAAACAAACAGACAGACAGACAGACAGACAGACAGACAGAAAATTCTAAAAATGGTAGAAATGTATTTAATTACTTATTTTTAGTACTACTCCATCACTTTTATTATATAAATCTAAAATGTACAGACATCGGCTATTTACATTTTTATTATATGTATAGATAATAGATGTCCTCCAGACCGAATTTCGGTCACGGACAGCCTCAACGGATATTAGCCGTTAGAGCAACAAGTCTATAATATACTAGAGATTATTATAAGGCGATATTGTCAGGTGCTGCGACAAGGAACGCGCATTATCCCGGCCTGCAATAAAGTGAAAAAAAAATATATATGTAAAACTAGCTGTTCCCCGCGACTTCGCCCGCGTGTTATCTGGGGTTTTAATTTTATTGCGCGAAACCATAATTCTTTTTCTAAAATAAAAGTACCCCAAGTTACTCCTTGTGACATCAGCTATCTGCCAGTGAAAATCTTGTAAAAATCGGTCCAGCCGTTTCGGAGATTAACCGGAACAAACAGACAGACAGTCAGACAGACAGACAGGCAGACGGACAGACAGACAAAAACTTTAAAAATTGTATTTTTGTTATTAGTACCGTATACACTTTCAAATGCATTTAATAAAATGATGTAATTTTTACATTACAAACAGACATTTCAATTTTATTTATTTGTATAGATATAAATGAGTAAATGACGCCACCAGGGCGGCGCAACTTAAAAGTGAGGTAAAATATTTGACAGATTTCATAGCGGGAAAGTTAATTTGATCGAAAAATTTGAAAAATTTTATGTAACTTTCTGTACTCTTAGTTATTTTTTTTATTAATTTCATTAAAAGTAAATAAACCAAACAATATTAATAAAAGTAGAAAAAAACAGTTAAAAATGTGCAAAAAGTTAAAAAGCAAACCATTGAGGCATTGTTTTGTGTATTAGCTTATTACTCTAGAAACTGCTAAACTTTTATTTAAAACTAACTTCTGAATTAAATGACATCTGATCTGGTGAGCGGAATATTATTAGCACTCATTCATGCAACATTCATTCGTTGCAGTAATAACGTCGTAGTTCTAACTAAACACCCATTGCTGAACATAAGGAGGTGATCGCAGTATATATTTTATTATTTTAAGAAGTTATCAGAAGCTACTGTTCAAGTATACTGTAGAGTAGCCCACACGACTTATATATTAATGTCAATTATTGTAACTAAATTACATGGCGAACCTGCCAGGCGGTGCGCTGCGACAATGCAGGCGCACCGCCGCGGCCTGCAAAGTGATTAAAATTACAATATAATTTAATTGTTGTAATTTACTCAAATTTGCACAGTTATATACTGGCCGTATGAGGAAGCTCAAGGTCGCTCAGCGAGCTATGGAGAGGGTTTCTCTGCGTGATAGACTTAAAAACGAGGACATCCTAAGTAGAACCAGAGTAACCTACATAACCCAACGGATTAGTAAGCTGAAGTGGCAATGGGCTGGCCATATAGGTCGAAGAACCGACAACCGATGGGGAAAAAGGTTCTCAAGTGGCGGCTTCGTACCGGCGGAGGAAGTGTAGGGCGTCCCCCCCTAGTAGGGGGGACGCCCTACACTATCTAGTGATGGAGTTATGACCTGGTAAGATATGCAGGAAGTCGAGGAATGCAGGTGGCTCAGAACCGTGCTTTGTGGCATTATTTCGGGGAGGCCTATGTTTAGCAGTGGACTTGTGAAGGGCTGTAATGATGAGGATGAAATATTGGATAAGGAGAAAATTAAATGCGACTATGAGAAAAGGCCACAATATAATTTTTGAGGTAATTACTGTAAGATCTACCAACGAAGATTATCCCCCACCAATTTAGTTTACGAGCGAAACACTCTTGTCCCCAACAACTTCACCGTATTGTGGAATATATTAACCTCAGCAGTTTTTATTCTCGTCGTCATAAGACCATCGCGGTCTTTTTCGACATAGCTAAAGCGTTTGATAGAGTCTGGCACGAAGGCCTTATCTACAAACTCTACAAAATATGCCTTCCTGATCGTCTTGTTCGTCTCGTGGGCTCATACCTGAAGGAACGTACCTTTCGTTTTAGACACGAAGGCACGCTCTCCTCTCAACGTCCTATCAAAGCCGGTGTCCCTCAGGGCTCAGTGCTTGCCCCTCTGCTATATATACTGTTCACCAACGACATTCCCATCCCGTCGAATGGTATTCAGCTCTCCCTCTTTGCAGACGACACTGCCCTCTACTCTAAAGGTATCTCACTACCTTGTATACGGAACAAGATCCAAAAGGCCGACACCAGGGCTGGTTTGCGATTAAGGAATAAGGTTACGCTACCGGTCATCGCTATTTTTAAAGGTCGAAAGCGGTTAAAATTCACCGATACGGAACCGGTATAAAATAAGTGTAGCTCTATTTATTAGCGGTATCATTATACCTTTGTATAACCTTTACATAACCGAAATTATACTAGTATCCAAAAATATCTGTTTATGTAATCAATGAAATACGAACAAAATGTATTATTTTTTATAAGTATATAGGATTATGATAACTGGTGGGTTTTGTTTTGACGCCGCGCCACTCCGTGCCTTGGTACTGAATTAGGGCGTCACCGATACTGAGATAACGCGGCTTTCATTTCCCAGATTAACTGGAATCCAATCTAGATGGATGCTGGGAAAATCCTGTTTAAGTTTTAGTAAACTATCTGTAGGATAGTAAAGTAACACTATAAATGGTAAAGTATATTTTTTTCCTAGTTTGGCAACTTCCAATGGATTCTGCCAGCGTCAAGTATTTTGGTAAGGTATAAATCTACGGTTTATCTTCGAGATGTCTAAACTAACTAAACGGATTGTAATGAAACTTTACAAACAGTTAGAGAGCAATACACACCGGACACCGGTACCCTCGTGGCGGCTGGTCTCAAACATCTCCATTTACATTTGTCATCACAATTTATGTAAATTAATTTAATTACTAACACTATAATTTAATTTATATTTCACTTCAGATTTACTAACATTCTTGTATGGGTCCTCTGTTGTCTGAAATAAAGATATTTTATTTTATTTATTTAATACCAGGAGTGATCTATGCTATATTTATTTTTAATAAAAACTTTTTTTTTAAATTGCTCGTGATTATCTTAAATTTAATTAACGACACATTAATAGATTCCAGTGATAAATAAAAACTTTGATGTCTTAAACATTTGTAGGCGAAAGAGGATCATCCTCAGATTTTCTTACGTGGTAGAGCCGTGCTGCAGCTATATTACTGGTATAGTTGTAGCACGAATGGGTCAGCTCGACCGCGGAAGGACCACGCTCTCACAGAATACCAGCGTAAAATAGCAACATAACGCTGCTGTGTTTCGTATTGTGAGTGTATTGTGAGAACCGGAGACCCTTTTTTACTGGAAACGAGGCATTCCATCTTAGTCCTCACGGGTGACAACGCATCTGCACTTTTATTCGTAATCGAGGATAAATGTAGATGTCTATGGGCCACAGCAACAACTTACCATCAGGTGAACTGTATGCTCGTTTGTTATCCTAATTCTATAAAAAAATGCACACATGATGGATGGCGCAAATATGCGTGCATACAATAATATATGGTCGCTAAAAAATCCTATAAACAACCACGGTTGCCACGATACCACAGATACGACGCTTCGCTAGAGTAAAGACTAAAATTTAACTCTCGATCTAGCCAGTATTTAAAACTATTCAAACTTATTAAATGATGCATAAACTCAATAACTTTTTTACAAAATGTAAACTATAATTTTGT